ATTTAAGAAAGAAAGTCTCAGGATGGGTCAACCTGTATTTCTGGATTTTTGGGAGCCGATTACCCGCTCTTAACGTAATTTATACGGACCGGGTGGGGCCCACACAGCAGGTGGGCGTGGACTAAATCAGCAGGTGGGCGTGGACTAAATTTTTCAGTGTGATGCTTCACATGACGGGATGAAACCCACTAAGTGACAGCCTTAAAGGGCTATGCCTATACTCATAGAATCTGGGGTTACAGTACGTAACCAATGTTTTGGGGACACAGAGACTGTTCGTACTGACAGTTTTAGAGCAGGGTGTGTGAGAGGAGAGAGACAGACATATCTCAGCTGCACGCTTTCTGAACAGACAGACAGTTTTGAGTTTTTTGGCTGGGGGGGGCTGCGGGGGAGAGACAGAAGCACATCTGAGCCGTGCGCTGTTCGTACCAACAGTTTTCGAGTGTCGGGGGTGCGTTCAGCGAGGGTTCAGCATGAAGGACGATGCTGCCTTTAGCTTTTTAGCTAGTACACCTGCATTGCAAGCCGCTAGTTTGGTGTTACGTCTGTGCCAACAGGTGGTTGAGGGTGGGGTTCGGTAGACAGGGCAGGGCGCCTCGCTTATATAATGGTAGGAGAAACACTGATATAGATCAACTTACAACAAAGAATAACTTTATTAACATTGATTTTTTTAGTCTGTAACAGAAACAACTTAAAGTGCATCAATTTGTCTGAAAAAAAATTTTTTTTAAACTGTAAACATTTATGACCATTTGATACTGAAAAAAAAAATTTAATATAATCAACAAATAAATTCAAATTGATCAGCAACATTTTAACTCAGGAGTGTTTTATAAAACACTTTGACCTACAAAACAAAAATGAATAAAACAATTTATGCTGATATATATATTTTTTTTAATCAAAATGCAGAAGTCAGGATCAATGAGCACATTCATCAATAAAACAAACAAAAAAAAGTGTCAACATGAAAGAGGAAAGAGGAGCAGGTAACCCTCTCGCTTTGAGTTTACTCTTTGTCACCTGCT